TAACATATTTATCATCTTCTCTTTGATTATTTTCAATTGGGATTTATCTTTATGCTTTTCTGCCAATGCCAAACCCTGTAGTTTAAATACATTATCTACATGTTGACCATGTTGCTATAGTTGATGATGGTCTACATGATGACTTTGTTGCTATTGTTGATGATAATCACATTGTTGAACATGTTGGTATTGTTGTTAATAATCTCAATGCTGACTATGTTGCTATTGTTAATGATAATCACCATGTTGACCATGTTGCTATTGTTGATGATGATCAGAGAGATGGAGGACTGGTTGGTGAAGGCCGAGGGCACCTGGGTCCTAGCCGAAGGATTTAACAATTTCCTTGGAAAGGTTATGCATGATGAGGTGTGTACTACTGCGAAGCAATATTGCTTCAATGGTAGGCCTTTATGCCAATACAGTGCTGACAACATCCTATTTGAGCTTTGTTGTCTAACGAGCTAACATATAGTTTAACCCAAAAACTTCGGTTATATCGAAAGAATTTATAAAATGTCCTAAATCTCAGTAACAGTAAACATAAATAAATATACATGAAATATGCTGGAACAGTTTAAAAGAGCTCAATATAATTATTCAATTAAAAAAACCAAATATCTGCAACATTCCATTATGAGTAGGTTTTGAAAATGATACTTTATAAATTCTTTTAATGTCTTTGAAGTTCTGGGTTATATTGTATGCAAACAAATCGAAGCTGTAGATTAGAATGGAAAATATTCTGTATTTATAGGCTAGCTAAGAAGCAGCAATAAGATGTCGTCTGCATTGTATTGGTATATAGGCCTACCACTTTGTGAAAACATATTTTCCGCATTTTGTGACATATTCAAGCTAAATTAAAATTATTTCTTTGATAAATTCGTGAATTTTGTTTCTTATAAAACCGGTTTTTAGGCTTGGCCTAGTGACGGACGCGTGGCAATGCTACGCTTGATGGCCTACGGTGCTGGAGAAGACGACATTGTTCTAATCCTCCACATGGATCGTAAAGATCATTTACTAATGAACTACGCACAAAAGTTTGACCGTCTTCCAACAAAGGAACAAGAAGCACTGACACTCCTGGTAATTAAACTCCATGAATTATAATCATCGACTAAAAGTTTGTTTTTATTCCTCCAACTAGAAATATTTAGAAAATTTTGGAATTCAATAAAAGTTTAGAATAAGATAAATTTCAAGAATTCAAATATCATCAAAAGAATTCTATGAAATAAGGAAAAGAGGAATGTAAAGAAATCTTAAAGCTTTGTTAAATATTATCAGAAGAAATCCTAACCTCATGATCAACCTACAATCTGAAGGACTGAAAATAGATGGAAATTTCGGTAAATTTGAAATAAACATGCAAGGTTCACTTAGTTATTTTATAAGCCAGTCGTATTAGTGGAATTCTAACTAATCAGTACAGCGTAAACCCTGGTTCCATGCTTTGGTTGAAAAATACTTTTAGAAATGTCTAACAAGGGGAGTTCAGTGCATTTTATAATTTTTTGATGTTCTCTAACATAAAAAAAACACCACTAAGATTTTTTGTTTCCTCTGATTTGTTTTCTTTTAGTTTTGTAATCTGTTTGAGACTGCTAGTGCAAGTGAATGGTTGTTATATATATCTGAATGGGACGCCCCTGGAGGGGGTCTACCCCTCTCTTTGTATTGTATTGTATTTTATTGTATTGTATTGTATTGTATTGTATTGTATTGTATTGTATTGTATTGTATTGTATTGTATTGTATTGTATTGTAATTGTAACTGATTGTGCAGTTGCAGAAAAATTAACGGGACTTTGAATACTATGTAACAAGCATTTCTTAAAGATGCGTCATAACCGGGCCAGTGGGGGCCAGTGGGGTCCAGTGGGAGGGGGAGTTGCTATTTAAATTGTATGGTTTTTTATTGTAGGGAAAATCAGCGGATTCTGGAGGAGAAGCGAAATTTTCTAAACAAAGATGAAAAGAAAACGAAGAAGAAGAAATATGATGAAAGAATTGGAAGGAAAGGGAGGGTAGGGGAGGGAAAGGAAGAAGAAAGAAAGAAAACGGAGAAAGCTGAAAAGAAAGCTGAAGAGAAAGCAGTAGCTGCCGGGCAGAGTGCCAGTAATTCTCATAGTTTTAAACCACTCAGGTCAATAAAGATAGAAATAGAAAAGTTAAAAATAAATTCGGAAAGAGTAATTCAAGTCACGGTAAAGTACACTGAATAGAAATGCTTGAGTTAAGAAAGCAAAAGAAAACGAATATAATTGGCTAAAATCAACATTGCTCATTGAGACCGGCTTTCCTTGTATTTTTCCAACAGAATTATAATTTTCCGAGATGTAAACACATTTCTTATTCAAAATTATAAAGTAGAAAACAATCAGAAAATGAAGTTATAACGAAGTTTAAGAAAAGTATCGATTTTTTTTCAGGAATCTTTCAGAGCAGAGAAACCCAAGTCATCCCGGCATATTAAGGTTTAATTATTCTCTTTATTTATCCTTTATTCATCCGTTATTCATTCTTTATTCATCCTTTATTCATCCTTTATTTATCCTTTAGTCCTTCTTTATTCATCCTTTATTCATCCGTTATTCATTCTTTATTCATCCTTTATTCATCCTTTATTCATCCTTTAGTCCGTCTTTATTCATCCTTTATTCATCCTTTATTCATTCTTTATTCATTCTTTAATCATCCTTTATCCATCCTTTGTTCATCCTTTATTCATCCTTTACTTATACTGTATTCATCCTTTATTCATCCTTTATTCATCCTTTATGCATTCTTTATTCATCCTTCATTCGTCCTTTATCCATCCTTTGTTCATCCTTTATTCATCCTTTATTTATACTTTATTCATCCTTTATTCATCCTTTATTCATCCTTTATTTATCCTTTAGCCCTTCTTTATTCATCCTTTATCATCCTTTATTCATCCTTTATTCATTCTTTAATCATCCTTTATTCATCCTTTATACATCCTTATTCATTCTATATTCATCCTTTGTTCATCCTTTATTCATCCTTTATTCATCCTTTATTCATTCTATATTTATCCTTTGTTCATTCTTTATTCATCCTTTATTCATTCTTTATTCATCCTTCATTCATCCTTTATCCATCCTTTGTTCATCCTTTATTCATCCTTTATTTATACTTTATTCATCCTTTATTCATCCTTTATTCATCCTTTATTTATTCTTTATTCATCCTTTATTCATCCTTTATTCATCCTTTATTCATTCTGTATTCATCCTTCATTCATCCTTTATCCATCCTTTGTTCATCCTTTATTCATCCTTTATTTATACATTATTCATCCTTTATTCATCCTTTATTCATCCTTTATTCATCCTTTATTCATTCTTTATTCATCCTTTATTCATCCTTTATTCATCCTTTATTCATCCTTTATTCATCCTTTATTTATTCTTTATTCATCCTTTATTCATTCTTTATTCATTCTTTATTCATTCTTTATTCATTCTTTATTCATTCTTTATTCATTATTTATTCATTCTTTATTCATCCTTTATTCATATTTTATTCATTCTTTATTCATCCTTTATTACTCCTTTACTCATCCTTTATTCATATTTTATTCATTCTTTATTCATCCTTTATTCATTCTTTATTCATCCTTTCTTCATCCTTTATTCATTCTTTATTTATACTTTTTTATCCTTTATTCATTCTTTATTCATCCTTTATTCATCCTTTATTCATCCTTTATTCATCCTTTATTAATCCTTTATTCATTCTTTATTCATTCTTTAATCATCCTTTATTCATCCTGTATTCATTCTATATTCATCCTTTGTTCATTCTTTATTCATCCTTTATTCATTCTTTATTCATTCTTTATTCATTCTTTATTCATTCTTTATTCATCCTTTATTCATCCTTTATTCATTCTTTATTCATTCTTTATTCATTCTTTAATCATCCTTTATTCATCCTTTATTCATCCTTTATTCAATCTATATTCATCCTTTGTTCATTCTTTATTTATTCTTTATTCATTCTTTACATTCTTTATACTTCCTTTATTTATTCTTTATTCATCCTTTATTCATCCTTTATTCATTCGTTAATCATCCTTTATTCATTCTGTATTCTTTCTTTATTCATTCTCTATTCATTTTTTTTATCAAGAGTTCCCTTCAAACCTCTATATGATTAACAATGTTTTATGTGTCGTTCTTTTATCTTGCTTGAAAGTGATTAATTCTGACAATTCTCTCAATTGTTTCAGAAATCCAATGTTTGAGAAACTACACTTGAAATTATTACATTTCTAATAGAGCAAATTATTGAAATAACAACTTTTAAGGGGGGTACGTTGTAAATGGGACATGTCACTTAAATAATGAAAACTCATTTGAAATTACATCTGCGTTGTTTACGAAGTATTTCACTGATTTTAAAAAAATCCATTTTTGAATTTCTAATATAGCATTTCTGAAATGAAAGTAATTCTGAACAGATTTAGTTAGTTTGGCGTGTAATATGTTTTATTTGTAGAAGTATCTCGTGTGAGCTACCTGATCCCGTCCTAGCTACCCCTGCCGGCCAACTCTTTAGAAACAAGGAATTCTTACACTTTTAATATCTAATCTATGTAATATCTAATCTATATAATAGAAAAAGACATTCGTATATAAGTTCCCTATAGGTGACATAGGCTAAAAAGATTATAGAATTTGTATTTTTCAAAAATCTAATTTTTTTCATAAATCGAAATTTTTTTCAATTTTTTAAAAAAATTCTATGGGCAACGCCGGGCCCTTTAGCTAATTATATATAATAGTCCGACTAAAAGGACCGTATAGACGTAATTTCAAATGAGCATCTATTTTGAGTTGGATCGAGATATGTTCGATTTGCAATGGTACTCTTGAAACATTTTCTCTGAACGATAATGCAGAAATCAAACTCGTTTGTCTATCTTGACAAATTTTGACAATATATTTTTCGTCTCTGCTGTATAAATCCGCAAGTCATGTTAGAGAGAAATTTTTAATTTTCGGAGAGAAAAACATGTTTTACTCAGGCGAAGGTTTGAATCTTTAAATGTAGGGTCCGATGCCCGATTTACAATGGAACTCTTGAAAGCTTTGTCTGATCAAGTAGATATGAAATAGATATCAATGTATTTGTTTCTTAAAACTGTTTATTTTCATTTTTGGTTTCTCTGGGAAAGTGACTTGCGCATTTCGTGCCTATGAGAAGCAATGGAGAAATTATTAGAATAGAACACCTTTCTTGATCAGCTTAAAGTTTTAAGGGTACCGTTGTAAATAAGGTATTGCCATCTTTGCATGGAGGGTTATTTGAAATTACGCTTACAGTTCCTTTAAATGTAGTTTTTAAATGACTTTTATGTGATTTTTCAATGAAAAAATTAAGAAAAATTCCGCACAGTCGTCTCTGAAAAAAAGTTCAATTACTGTATTATACTGTAACTGTAACAAATTTGACTTTTTTTGAAGATCTCGACCGAAAAAGAAAAAATGTTTAAAATGTGAATTCTATTTTATAGTCGCTGAAACGAGTTTCATTTGACGAGCGTCGAGAAATTATCAACGAAGAATCTCGGTGTCCAACTCCTGTAGGTCAGTTAACAAATCAACTCCTGTAGTTCAGTTAACAACTAAACTCCTATATAGGTCAGTTAGCAAATTGTACCATACAGGATCCCCAAAATAAAGCAAATCATCTCAATTTTATTTATTTTGGGGTTTGGTTTAGTATTTATGTTGAGTTTTTAATCTTAAAGATTGAAATATTACGTGTACCATGCTTTAGAAATATTTCGGTCTAAAAGTCGTCTTTCTTCTCCTCTTTCATTTTGAGTACCACTCTTTCTATCTGCATGAAATAATAATTCTCAAGAGAAAATTGTTTTATATTTTGCTTTTATGTAAAGTCATCTAAACATCATTTTCATAAAAAGGTAGTTTTAAATAAATAATAAATTATAATAAATTTAGGAATCGTTTTTATTACAAAAAAGTTTTTATTTTATTCATTTAGATCAATCTGAGGAAGATCTTCCACCCCTTGAGGAGATAAAAACTTCATTAGAGGTCAATATGTTGTTTTAATCCTTCATTCAGGTCATTATTTTGTTCTCAAAATTTTGTTTGAGGTCAATATGTTGTTTTAATTCTTAATTGCAGGTCATTATTTTGTTTTCAAAATTTCATCGGAGGTCAATATGCTGTTTAAAACTTTTATTACAGTTAAATTTTTTGCTTTAAACTTTTATTGGAGGTTAATACTTTGTTTTAAACCTTTTTTTGAGGTCAATATGCTGTTTTAAACCTTTTTTTGAGGTCAATACGCTGTTTTAAACCTTTTTTTGAGGTCAATATGCTGTTTTAAACCTTTTTTTGAGGTCAATATGCTGTTTTAAACCTTTATTTGAGGTNTGTTTTAAACCTTTCTTGGAGGTTGAATTTTTGTTTTAAACTTCATTGGAGGTCAAATTTTTGTTTTAAACTTTCATTGGAGGTCGATATTTTGTTTCCAACATTCACCGGAGGTCAATTTTTTGCTTAAAACCTTCAGAGGAGGACAATATGTTATTTTAATCCTTCAGAGGAGGTAAATATGTTGTTTTAATCCTGCCAATGAGGTTCACATTTAGTTTAAAACCTTCTCTGGAGGTTAATGTTTTTTTACTATTGAGCTACAGACTTAAAATTTACTTATTTGAAAAGCCCATTGAAAACTGAGCGTAATGATATGCAATACATATATTCAGCCCCCCCCCCCTCCCAGCCTCTCAGGGTTAATTATAAATGGTGTGAATAGTTTTTGCAAACAGTCCCTTTCTAATTAGATATAATTTTTGTTTAAATAACCTTTTACTTAATGTAAAGGTACCCAGGATTCAATCCTGTAAAAAGGACAGAGTTTGCTCGAATAAGCACATCCCGATCGTTAGTGCTATGGTCGGCACCTCCCGGCTTATCATGGCTAACAACTGGCTCAATCAAAGAAACACACAGAAGACTTTTAATACTTTCCTAAAATGATCATCCTAGGTTACTTGGGTCTCGAGCATAAATGGAAATTTAATAAAAGAACTGAGCCAGTTTGTTAAACTTCCTATTATTTAAATAAGATAAAATAAATTTAGGTAAAAATATTTGAATCCTAAACAATAAGGATATAACACCATTCATTTGTTGATGAAGTGATGAATAGACTGGGCTGGAACGGGTTCACCTGTGCAAGAAAGATTTTTTAAAAAATGAAAGTTTCCGGATTGTGCCTTTAAATAAAAAACTAAAGTTTTCATCAAAATAATAATTTTTTGCAAATTGTGCCTTTCATTAAAGGGGCACTGGACCCCTTGTTAAGCATGGGTCCAGTGCCCCTTGGCACTGGACCCACGCAGGGTACCATTATGAATATAATTATTGGGAAATTCCTGTAAAGGAGGAATTGATAATCAGAGTTTCACCGTTCCATGCCCTTCCATTCCTCATGAGTATAAAAGGATAAGTATTGGAAAATACTATTTAAGATTGAAGTTTAAATGAATTAAAATTTCCCATTTATTCCTTGTTTATTATTTATCATCTAATATTAACATTTAAAATTACTTCCATTAATGAATACCTTGATGGAGTTAAAATTGGGAGTGGAAGTTAAAATTCTAATTTTCCTCGCATTTTCTTAATTGTGAATATCATTTGTTCGAGTTTTATTCCGGGAATTTCCATTGGAGCATAATATTTATCTTTATCTATGTGTAGTTTCTTGAAAATCTTATGCACAAATTTGTGGCGCTGCGATACCTCGTCATAAACTGTTTTAGAAAGAAATCTTTTCTTTGGTTCTAATGTTTTAGGTTCAGTTTTTTGAATTTTCCTTCTTTCTTTTGCAGTAAACTTTTTACACTCTAGAATTGTGTGAATTACTTTATACTGGTTTCTCAGTTCTTTTTCTGATGAAGAATGAGTTCGAGCAGTTTTAAAATAGCTTAGTCCAGCCATTTTCTTGTATTTTTGGTGGGTATTTGAATTAGGAGGTATTATATTGTACTTGTTGTTTTCTTTTCGTAGTACTGTTGTAAAAGGCACGGGTGAGTGTGGGTCATTATATATTCGAATATTTAAAAATTTCCCATAAATAATCTTGGACTCCATATTGAATTTAAGAGAGGGGGGGTATCCAGAACCAATAATCTTTACAGCTTTTTTAATTTCGTCATCAGACCCTGTTAAGTGTATTGAGACATCATCTCTAAATCTTAAAAAACGTTTGACTGTTTTTATTAGATTGTTTCGTGCTAAACCACTGAACATTTTTATTTCATAAATTCTTAGAATAATTTCAGACCCTCTTGCTGCGGAGCAGTCCCCCATGGAAAATCCCTTTAAAGTTTTAAAAATGCCATTCGGCTCTTTAAAATATGAATGATTCATTATACAGTTAATGAGCAGTCTAATATACTGGAATGACGATTCATGAAACTTAGAGAAAAAACATGCCTGTTTAACGCATTCAGTTAATAGCTCACAGTTGCAGTTTGAGTACAGATCACTAAAATCTCCTTCAAGTTCAATAGAATTACCCCAATCTCCTGTTATGGTTTGTTTTATTCTTGAAATGGCTTCTTGGACCCCTGTGACTGATGGGGAGATAAATCCAAATTTTTGGATAAATTCCTGTTCAGTATGAAACAAAAGATGATTAAAGATTTTATCTAATATTTTTTGAATAATTTTGATCGGATCCCGCATAGAACTTTTGATTCCTCTTGATGTTAAAAATTGGATGTTGCTAGCATTGATTTTCTTCAGTTTTAAAACTTTTGGTTGTAACCTTAAAACTCCTATTTCGGATACTTTATTTTCCCATAAAAAATCTGTTTCTTTAATTATGTTTGAGAGTTCATGAGGTAGACCTGCCTTGGCTTCTTGGATAAAATTAAGGATACTTTCAATATACCATTCTTCCGATATTTTTGTTAACCCAAAATGTTGCTGTTCATTTATTTTTGAGTATTGTTCAATTAAATCAGATTTTTTAATACACACATATCCTACATTTTTGTCTGCTTCTATAATAATTTTGTCTTCGTCAATATTGAATGATTGTTCAAATGTTCTCATTGCTGGTAGAAACCCGTATTGTGAGAGTTTCAAGCTATTTGAAAATTCTAATTTAACCTCTTTGTATAGTTTTAGGAACATCTTTACTATATTTATAAACGATGGGTTTCTTTTCACGAAATTACACCTTTTTAGCTGTTTAAGTTGAAATACAATGTTTTTGTGATGAATAGGGATTTTATATTTCAGTTCGTTTTGAAGAACATTAGTAAACATGGATGAAACTTCTGAATTAAATTGATTTATTTCTTTGGATTTGTTTAACTTGAAAAATGGAACATATTTTTTACCTAGATTCAATCTTTCTTGTATTTCTTTTGGAACATTTGTATTAGTTAAGTTAAAAAAACAATTTCCGTTTAACTCTTTTTTAATTTCTTGAATTTCTAATTCAACATACTGATAGAGGTGTTGTTCTAAATGTTTATAAAGGATAATAGCGACTTTGCTTATTAAAGAATCTATTCCATTTTTCACTCCATATTTTATTACCTTTGAATCCAAATTCTCTATTTTATTTAAAATGTTCATCTTAAAATCCAAACTCTTATTTTCTTTTGATATACTTAACATCCATTGTTCCAAGTCTTGTTCAAAGGTTGTTCCTGACGACAGCTTAAATACCTTTTTATTATTAAAAAACTGGGAACTCAGTTCCTTTACGTTTTCCAAAACTAAACTTATCTCCTGATTTAATAGAATAGCCGTTGTTCTCGTAACCTTTGATACCGAAGTTAAGCTCAATAGTTTGAAGATCAGTCTTAGTACGCAATTCATAATATCTGAAATAACCCAAATAATAACTAAATTAAAAGATTTATTTTGTAAAACACAATTATTGATAATTAAGCATTAAACTCCAAAACTCTTTGGTAAGAATATAAAAATATTAGGATATCTAATTTTTAATAATAACCATTACATAATAGTAAAATATCCCAATTTATAAAATCTGAAATGTTTTTAGGAGCTGAATTTTATATAATCATACTTAAACCAAATCAAAATTAAAAATGTTAATTAATTACAATAAATATAAACTTTGGAGCGGTACTGAATAATCAAGATTTGAAGATATTCAGAGTAACATTTTATGAATATTGTTCATAGACCAGACTTATTAATCTGTAGATTCAGAGCTGTTGTAGTTAAGGTTCCTTCTAGATCTTGTCTTAGCTGGACTTGAGGAACCAGTAGAATTTGAAACTCTTCTCTTTCTTGATGACTGAGTTGTTCTTGATCTACTTGTTCTGTTATCTGGGGAGATGGTAGATCCACTTGGAATAGGACTAGAAGAACTTTGTCTAGGCGTTTTGCTAGAACTACGAAGTCTTCTAGAGCTTCCTGAGGAATCAAAAGAAGAAGTACTAAGCACAATCCTGTCATCTGAGATCTGGAGGAACTTGTCAATTTTTGGCTGTAGAGAGTCGAGCTTGATATTATTTTTCTCTTTAAAGGTTAGTTCTTTCCGCTTCTTTATTGGTTTTTTAAGGGTTGGCGTGGAGAATTTCTCTGAAAATTTCTCTAGTAGCTCCCCATTAGCTTTGGTTTCATCTGTGTATTTCCGAGTAACATTAACAACTCCAAAGTTCCGATTCTTTGGGCTTAGTTTGACTATCCAGTCCGAAGTTGTTGGTATTTTGTTTGTGGTTTTTGGCTGGATTTCGTAAGACCAAAAGACCATATAGGAGTCAACTACTATGCACTTTGACAGTTCCTTAATCTCGGTTTCCGTGCCAAAAGACCAAACTTGTATGGACTCTCCGTTTTTACCGACAGAAAAAACCAAATTATACCCAACCTGTTCGCTGCTGTTTAGTCTGGGTCCTGCGGATTCGAGAATTTGCCCAAAAAAGGCTCTTTTCGAGTTTTTCCCGATTTCACTCACTTCCATAGCCTCTATAGGCTCGTTCTCTTTCCTAGTTTCTCGTTCCAAAAAACGTGTAGGAAAAATAAAGTGTTTTTTAAACACATTCGAGTACGTGTCTTTGTAATCAGGATTATAGGAACAACCTGCTTCACCCTTATCTTCTGGTAACATTTCTTCTAAATCCTCACCATTATCCATATTATTTGACACTCCATCATTGTGATCTTCATATTTGTGAGGAGAAAAGGTGATTTTTTTCCTTGTGTTTCTCGCTCCATTCTCATTATTCTTTGTTGGTTTGTCTCCATGTCCCTCTATCTCTTTGCTATCACCTGTGTTGACAAAGACTTCTAACTCTTGTTTCTTATAACAGTGGGGAGACATGATTATTGGTTTCTTCCTGTTTTTGGCTCCGACCCCGTTATTTTTAGTTGTTTTTCTCGGTTCATCCTCACTTATGTCAATTATTGGCATATCTCCGTTTTGTGATGATCTTTCTGAGTAGTCTGTGACTTTAGGGGTTTGACGTGGTCCTTGGATTGATTCTTCATCAGATATATCATGTTCCTTCTTGGAATCAGGTGTTCCTGTTTTGGTAGTCCTTTCTCCATTCTCCGGTTTCTTTTTCTGAACAGACTCTTCCTGATATAAGAATTCTCTGATTCTTTTTTCGTCTGCTTCATAGCCTCCGAAAAACTTGATGTAGCCCATTTGTACTAGATGGAGAAGTACTTTGTTTGCGTACGATGTAGACATGTTGAACCTGATCTTAAAGAAGTCCGTTCCAGGTTCTTTTCCTGGTTGTGTGGTTTTGAAATCTTCCTTCAAAATTGAGTTCATTACTCGCCGGAGCATTTTGTCAAAGGCAAACTTAGAATGATCTTGAGCAGATTTGTTTTGCTTAAGAACGAACTCGGTGATGGTACTGTTAGTCCCAGGAACACCAGCTTTCCCCGCACAAGGTCCACAAATGTGGTCTACGCTAAAGTCGAACGCTTTGTAGCATTCGGCGTGAGAATAACTTTTACACTTGATACATAGCAGCATCCCGTTTTCGTAGGATTGGAAGGCGCACACACAATAGATTTTCCCGGCTTTATTCTTTTTGGATTTTCTCACTTTGTGTTTCTCATCCGTTAAAATAGAAGAATTAATGAAAGGCACAATTTGCAAAAAATTATTATTTTGATGAAAACTTTAGTTTCTTATTTAAAGGCACAATCCGGAAAATTTTATTTTTAAAAAAATCTTTCTTACACAGGTGAACCCGTTCCAGCCCAGTCTATTCATCACTTCATCAACAACTGGATGGTGTTATATCCTTATTGTTTAGGATTCAAATATTTTTACCTAAATTTATTTTATCTTATTTAAATAATAGGAAGTTTAACAAACTGGCTCAGTTCTTTTATTAAAATTCCATTTATGCTCGAGACCCAAGTAACCTAGGATGATCATTTTAGGAAAGTATTATAAGTCTTCTGTGTGTTTCTTTGATTGAGCCAGTTGTTAGCCATGATAAGCCGGGAGGTGCCGACCATAGCACTAACGATCGGGATGTGCTTCTTCGAGCAAACTCTGTCCTTTTTACAGGATTGAATCCTGGGTACCTTTACGTTAAGTAAAAGGTTTTTTAACTAAATCAATGTGGACTGAAGAGTTGTAAGAAACGCGCATTCATGGATGACAAATGGGGATTCATAGATTCACTTCCTGGAAATTGGATTAGTTTTAAATGAAGAGCGTAGTCAGTTGATAAAGAAAAACATCACTGAGAAATGGTACCTAAAAAAGGAAAATTCAAGAAATTTAAATGTTTGCAGAAAGAATGGACAGAGTTTGTCTATTCTTCTCTAAAGGGACCTGCTGGAAGGGTAAAGATTGTCCTTTCCTACACATCTTACCGAGAAGCAAAAACAGAGATGAAGAGGGGGAAGAATATAGCCGGAAACCTCCATATTCAAAGTAAATTTAATAGAAATATAGAAATTAGGTTTTTAAAAAAAGAATAAAAATACTACATTCAAAATCTTTCTAAAGGTCAAGCTACAATCACTATCCAGAGAACGTTAGTACTCCAGGCAACTCCAGAGATTCTTCGCAATCAAAGTAAAGTTATTCAATAATATGAGCATAATCCTTAATTCGTAAAAATTTAATTAAATTAACAGAAGTTTTTAAAGGTATCAACAGTACAAAGAGGATTCAACAACCCCAGATTATACAAGAGAAGTAAAGAGTTCCCAAGATAGAAGACTAGTTCAACAGAACACTACCTCTATAAGGTTAATGAAACAAATTAAGGGAATTTCCAAAAAGGCGGCCCAGTAATACTACACAAGTGGATATAAAATGTTAAAATGAAGTGCAATATAAAGTTTAGACACAGTTTGCAGTCTGTAAAAATAACAATTTAAATGCTATTCAGGGAATCAAGATCACAAGTTAAGAGAAGAGACAGAAACCCTAGATATTCACCTAGTTCTCAGAACAACCGGTATTCAATTAATTTCAATCTAGATTCTATAATTTCAAATACCTTAGGCCCTCAGGTTAATCATAATCACTGATTATGAACCCCTTTTTTTCAGTCATAAATATTCGACTTTATTATGAGATTTATTAATACACTTGATTGGTGTTCCGGCTCAAGCTCAAGATCAGTGATTGAACTAAATATACGTGATTAAACCATGTCTGGCTATCCATATTTGTGT